TCTTTTTACCTTCAGACAGGAAAAGACCACAGTTGCACCTTAGGTGGCCACTCATGAGCTTTAAAGATCCCAGTGGCCACTTATCAAAAAAGAATGTAAAACATTATCTTTGAGGACTATGTTATGCCAATTGGCCTTAGTGTCTCCCAAGACCATGGTTCTGAGTCTCCAGCCCCAGTGACTCATTCCCTCAAAGTGTTTGGTTATGTCTAAGAAGTTTTCATAACATTTCTCCTTATATGCTCTATCACATTCATGGATATATTTGCAGTAAATACCCATGTACAAATATCCCCTTTCAAGCCTATATGTATTTGTGGGTATATTCCCATTCTCCCTCCCACATCTGTTCAGACTGTGTGTCTATCCATGCATCTACTTGTAGAGGCAACTTGTTTATTTTGATATATAGTAAGGGCCACAAAAATGAGATAGACATTCTGTCTGTCTTCAAGGAGCTCATCACTGATAGCAAAAACCAACACGTATACAGGTGTCTGAAGAGACAAAACCAGAACAGTAGGGTGGAGCAGGTAAAGTTACTCAATGCAATTATTTATCAGAACAGTTCTTGCTACTCTCAAAGAATGGGTAGGTACATTGTTATGATGGAACAACAACAAAATTTACTTGGTGCTAATTTCCTGGCCATTTTCTCACTATTGTCATTTTCAGTTTTCTTTAAACTTCTTCTGAATAAACCCCCATGATCATCCTGTGTCTTTTGAGAAAATGAATCATGATTATCTTTGAAATCCCCAAACAGTTGTCATAACCTTCTGAGCTGACCTCTCTGTATTGAATTTAAATGGCTCATCAGATCCTGTTGGGGCCCACTCTTCTGACTGGACCTTTGTTATTTAAAGCACCCTAGCAAGACTAAGATAAATGTTTGACTGAGGGGACTTATCGACAGCCATTCACTGGTGGTTTGAACACATTTTATTTGGAATAAACTTGTGCATGAATGAACTAGAACCCGTCTAATCATACTTATCTATGTGTCTGACTTAATACTCAAAGTTAAGCTTGGTGCTTACTGTGAAAATCATTTTTACTTATTAATATTTATTTTCTTTGCAAGTATTATTTCACTATTAGAAGCAGACAGGGCCACAAACACATGATTATGACAGACAGCTCCAGGCAAGACAGGTGATTAAATCGTGACTGCTGAAATATCTGACTTTGCCTTTGCCTCTCAAGAGTCAGCATTTCCTATTTCTGCTCCAAATTGACAATGGTGGATCCATTTGACCTACAATGTCTCTATGTTGATCATTACCTGAAATTCTCACAGCCGAATTATAATAATCCTCTCTTAAACAACAACAAAAAAGACTCATCTTCATGATTTAAATTATCTCTCTGTTTTATATGCTGTTGTTATTGTTATAACAGGTAAGAATTTCTAAAAGAAAGCATACACTTTTTTTAAATTATGTTATGCCACATCACATTTTTGTCCTTAGAATATTCTTACTGGAAAATTATGTCCTCCAGATTGATCCTTAGGATCTGTTGTGTTGTGTTTTCTTTACTAATTTTTTTTAATTCTATTTCTGAGACATTTTCTAAACTTTCTCTTTAATCTCACTTATCGAAGTTTTTATTTTGTCTTTTATATCATTACTTCCCCAAGGGTTCTCTTTGTCATTTTCATTTCCACTTCTTTAAAAAAAAGAAGTGGAATTTTATATATCTTGGAAGAAATTTATATGTTTTGGAAGAAGTTAAGTATTATACCAGATAACATTATGTGGTGATCAGGTCAAGGAAAAATAGTTGGAATTTCCCAGTTGGCCTTTAACAGGATATTTGTTTAAAAAAAAAAAAAAAATCAAAACACTGTCAGACTTCTTTGGAGGAACATGAAGAAATATGATACTAAAACAGTTCCTAATATCCTGATATCCTAGCGTCAGTTTTCTTAAATCTCCAAATAGCTTAAAGACAATCTTTAAAACAATGATACAGCAATCATTATTTAATTTGGATGCAACTCTAATCAGGAAATCTAATGGGCCAGAAAATTATTTCTAATGAAATAAGACTGTTTTCTTATCAATGAGCCTTCACCAATAGCAAAAGATCAAGTTTCATCATCAGACTTCATTTTGTCTTCTAATTTTCTTATTTCAGGATTCCTTAGGTTTAGAATTAATTCAGACTGCTTCGCAGAGAAAGCTATTTAGCAATTTCCCTGTTTTGTAGTAATGGAGGTTCACAAGCTTTGTCACACGGAATGATTTTCCTCCGTTTTGTTTTTGTTTATAGCCCTTTGTATTAACTGGACTAAACTAACATTCTAAGGTTCTCTCAATTATTTTGGTTTTGAGATCTTCCCTGAAAGACCAACCAAGAAACAAATTAGCCTCCTCCCTCATCTCACCCCCTGAAATGATCTAACTGTATTAACAACAACAGTATGAAGTCTGGGAACAATTTGGGCCAGGACAAACACACAGCCACACTGCTTTACTAACTTTTCCTTCCAGCTATTTGGACAACATTTTGCGTGGGTAGGATTGCATTTATGTGAAAAGTAAGGACAACTGAAATGTTGTTTCAGAAGAATCAGGCAGAAACAGTTCAGCCCTTTCTTCTGAAGACTAAGGAGGCTGACATGTACTGATTGTTATCTCAGGGCGGTCTTGAACACTGGCTGAGACACTTCCTGTGAGAAGAGTCAGGCTCTGAGTCCTTTCCCATTGTTGCTAGGTGCTTGTTTGCTGAGTAGCTCACTCCGCCCCCACCTCCACACATGCAGGTTCTGGGGAATTGCCCCAATTTTCAGCTCTGCTGAGGTGGTTTGTGACTCATCCTGTTTTCTCTTTCGTGACCTTTTAAAAGAACAGGGATTTCACCATCTAATAAACTTTCTATAATGACTTGTGCAAGGAACCTCCATCTTAATTTTAATTTTTAGTCATTTCTCTTGTAGGCCTCTTCCTATTTATTTGAACATAAGTTACAATTAAGCCTAAAATCTATAATTTAGCCCTGTATGCCATTTATATAATGCCATTTATATAATTGGTTTTCTATTCTGCTTCCCAGATAAAATGTTTTCATTCCATTGGAGGGAAAAGCAGGGCATACAAGATTTTATTTCCCATGGGACAATTAAGATTACATTTTCCATTAACTTGTATCAGTAATTGTCCAAAATAAGGTATAGAGCTGCAACCCTAGGAGTTCTCTTTAGGATCTGTTTATTCATCGCTTTATAGGCAATATCTTCCTGGAATGGCAAGGATTGCCAACACAAGGAAAGTTCAAGCTTCCAATCTGCATAACTCTACAATGGTAAGGGGTTTTTAAAAATCTGAATTCCCATATATTTGTTTCTTTGCCTTATTTTATTGTGATAGTTTAGCAATTGTTAGCATAACAAATATTCTCTATGTTTTAACATTGAAAAACCCCTTTTCTGTATTTTGTAAGTTAGAATTCTTAGCATGCTTATTAATATTTTAACCCACCATAAAGGAGAAATCCGTGCTGATGGGTTATGGATAACACTTCTTTGTCTAATCCCTGTCACTGGCCACGGGCCACGGAGCCAATGGGATTAGAAAATGATAAGCAGTTCAGTTTTGCTGGAACATATGGTATGAGAGTAGGAATGGCAGAAGATGATCTAGGAAGGACAGTGTGGAAGAGCTTGAATTTTTCTACTTCTTGGAATTTATGGTATCTCTAGAGATAAAGGCTAGACATAATCTCATTTGTTGTGCTGTTAAAGTAATGTTAAGTCAATTCCAACTCATAGCATCCCTGTATACAGTTTCCAATGAGCAGCTGATGGATTTGCACTGCCAACCTGTGGTTAGCAGTCCAGTGCTTATCCTACAGCACTCCACCAGGACTCCAATCGCATTGCGTTGTGTTGTTGTTAAGTGCCATCGAGTCAGTTCCAACTCATAGCGAGCCTGTATAAGGTTTCTGAGGAGCGACTAGTGGATTTGAACCACCAATATTTTGGTTCAAACTGACCTTGTGGTCCAGTGTTTATCCTACAACACCATACCAGGACTCTAATCTCATTTTAGGAAAACTCTAATCTAAATTAGACTAATTTCCTAAATTTAAGAAAATGTATTTTTAAAATTCAGAGGGAAAGAAAGTATAAAACTCATAGATCAAGAGAATTTAAAACTCTAGAAAACCACTTTTCATTGTCTAACTAAATGGCAATATATATATTCATATATATATAGTGAGAGAGAGAGTCCTGGTGTGGTGCTGTAGAATAAGCACTGGACTACTAGATCAGTTTGAACCGCAAGGTCGGTGGTTCAAACTCACCATCTGTTTCTTGGAAACCCTATACAGGGTCCCTAGGAGTCAGAACCAACTTTATAGCATTGAACAGCATATATATATATGTAGCATACTGGTTACGAATCGGGCTGTGAACCGCAAGGTCAGCAGTTCGAAACTACCAGCTGTTCTGCGGGAGAAAGATGAGGCTTTCTGCTCCCGTAAAGATTTACAGCCTCGGAACCCCTGTTCAGGGTCGCTATGGGTCAGAACCAACTCGACGGCACTTAACAACAACCCCCCTGAATAGATTCCAGTGCTATAGGATAAGGTAACAAAGGTCCACAGTTCAAATACACCAGTTGCTCTCAGAAACCCTATTACAGGGTCACTATGAGTCAGAACCAACTTGACAGCACACAATAACAATCTATTTAATTTTATATATTATATATTTAACCATATAATGGTTTTAATTCCTGTTATAAATAATCATATATATGAATGGAAATTAAAAGCATATAACTAATGATAATGTCAGAGGGCAGTACTATGCCTAGAGAATAAACTGAAATTGAAAAAAATATTATGCAAAGGAAGTTGTTTCCTTCTTTCCTTTCTGCCTGCCTGCCTCCCTTCCTCTGTCCCTCCTTCCTTCCTTCCTTTTCTGTTATATTTGATTTTAAACTAAGCAAATAAAAGATCAAGTTTCTGTTCTTGAGACATAGACTTGCCTGCCGTAAGTCCTTGTCTGGGCTGCCAAAATTGTGCAGGTTCGTAGGCTAGTCATTCTTACACAGGATCCATCAGATATGATTGCAGTACCACTGAACATTGCCTGGTTTTATATAAAATCTTGGGCTTTGTAGCAAGATGTTGTCTATGACACAGTAAAATATGTTTTGAGTATATAGTTTGCTTAAGATAGCTTTGGAGTCCCTGAGTGACACTGTAGGATAATGCACCAGACCGAAAGGTCCATTTGAACTGCAAGGTTGGCAGTTCAAACTCACCAGCCACTCCTCTGAAACTCTATACAGGATCGCTTTGAATTAGAACCGACTTGATGGCATTTAGCAACAATAACAAAATAGCTTTTAGAAGTCATAAAAGCTAGGATTCCTGGAGTTTCCGGTTGGCACAGTTAAGGATATAAGAGCAGCACCCGATACAGGATTTGTAGAGCTGGAAACAATTCATTTAGTAGAAATGGTGGTGACGATCGTGTGCCATGGAGTCGGTTCTGATTCATAGCAACCCTGTATAAGACTCATCTTTCTCTCATTGATAGTTTTGAATTGCTGCCCTTGTAGTTAGCAGCTAGACTTGTAATCCACTACACTACCAGAGCTCCTTATTTAGTGGGAGAGACCTTACTTATTAAAACATTGTTGTTGTTGTTGTTGTTAAGTGTTGTGGAGTTGGTCCCTACTCATAGCAACCCTGAATAGGATTGTTGAGGAATGGCTGATGGATTTGAACTGCTGACCTTGTGATTCGAAGTTCAGTGCTGATCCTACAGCACCACATCAAGTGTCTGAATTCCTACTTTAAGGTTTGTAAGAAATGCAAATTTTGGGCCATATCCCAAACCTACTGAATTAGAAATTCCTGGGGAGGGATCCAGCAATCTGTGCATTAACAAGCTCACTAGGTAATTCAAACACAAATTAAGTCTGAGAACTACTTTGCTAGAATTTCAACTTGAGTTTGCAGCTTGCTTTACAGGGAGTAAGGAGCTCAGTGCAACTCCAAGGGCTTTATGCGTTAATTTCCACGTGGAATTTATACGCCAAAGGTTTTAAAATAAAAGTCACCCAAAATCTTTACATTGTGTTTAGATTTAACATTCTATCTGTTTAAAATAGCTGCTGCAGAAAAGATAGACACTTTTTCCTAATCATCAAGAGAAAATTTAGTGAGCCTGCTACTGATTCATTTGTACCAAGTGATACAGTTTATGAACCATCATCAATTTTCACTCTAGCTATTCTTTCATGACTTTAGACAATTATTTACAATGCTTCACAACCTTAAAACTAACTCAAGTATAAAGATTCTTGTTGGACGTTCATAATAGATAAAATCAGGTACTATAGCACATCTTACTCTTCTTGGGGACAAGTCCTTACAGAACAGACAGTACCCTAATAAAACTAAATGCAATCTGATTTTTTCAATTATCAAAAGGCAATTTACTTGATAAAATAAGAAAACAATGTCTTTCTCAAAGAGTAAATAAGGCAGGGTCTAGTTTTGTGGCACTGTTGGAAAATAAATGCACTGGATGGCAAGGTCAGTTTCTTTATGGCACTTAATAACAACAAGAAGTTAGGATTCCTGATGTGGCACTGTTGATAAACACTGGACTGTAAACCACAAGTTCAGTGGTTTGGCAGTTCAAACCCACCAACTGCTCCTCAGAAACCCTACACAGAGTTTCTATGAGTAAGAACTGACTCCACTGCACTTAACAATAACAAGATGCCAGAGACAGAAACCCCACACCCACTATTTAAACAGGAATAATTTAAAATAAAGACCTGTTAGAAGATGGGAATCTACTAAATTAAGGAGCTCTGGTAGTGTAGTGGTTACAAATCAGGTTGTTAACCTCAGGGTCAGCAGTTCGAAACTACCAGCTGTTCTGTGCGAGAAAGAGGAGGCTTTCTGCTCCCGTAAAGATTTACAGCCTCGGAAACCCTGTACAGGGTCGCTATGAGTCGGAATCGACTCCACCGCACATAACAACAACAACAACAACTAGCAGCCAGTACCTCTAGGCTGTGGAATAGCTAGGATAGCAAAGGAACTAAGTACCAGGAAAATGTGGGGTGTGATGCTGTTCAGCACTGGACTGCGAACCACAAGGTCAGCAGTTCAAACCCACCAGCTGCTCCTCAGAAACCCTATACAGAGTCTCTATGAGTGGGAACCAACTTGATGGCATTTAATACCAACCACCACCCCAGGTAGAGATTTTCACCTGTTCAAAGAGCAGTCCTGGTGTGGCTCTGTGTGTTAATGTGCTGGGCTGCAAGGTCTGTTTGAACCACAAGATCAGCGGTACGAACTCACCAACTGCTCCTAGGAAACCCTATACAGTGCTGCTATGAGTTGGAACTGACTCAACGGAACGTAACAAGAACAACAACAAAGAGAAAGTGGCGATTACAGAAACACACAACCTGCTAGTAACAAGGGAAATTGTCAGATGCCATAGACTGGCATTCATTTACAGAGTAAGTCCACCGTGACTAAAGGTTATGAGTGGGATGGAGTGGTGTCTAGAAGTGGCACACCATTGTCACAGGATGTGGGCAGGCCAAAGTTTCTCAGAAGTGGCTTCTGGTAGGCAGAGTGTGCCTCAGGGCACAGCTGGAACTCAGCTGCACAGACCAGCAGCTCTGCTCTTAACTCTCAATAATAATACATAATGATTAAAATCCAAGACAAAAGTCTCTTCTTGCTGCTATTGCATTGTTGGGTTGTAGCAGTTCCCTCTACTAAAAATGTCTAGTGCTTTCCTAGCAGACAAAAGGGAAAAATGTACAGGGTCCAGCTGCAGTACCACAAAGTAGATCAAAGAATGACAGGTTTAGAGAAAAAGACAATAAGTTGAAAATTGTACAGCCACTTTTGGCTGCTCAGCCTCCCATGTATTTCCACGAACATTTAGACGTTCATTCACGGACATATACCTCAGGTTTTTCACCCACAAGATGCAGCTATTCTTTGTACACACAAAGAAGTTCTCAGATTGTCATAGGAGTTCCAAGTGTTATTGAAATAATTGCATTGCAATTCAATCATAGTCCCACTATGTTATCTAAATCTAAATGCAAATGTAAAATTTAGTCTTTCGATAACTACTCAGTTATCTAACCCTAACCCTAACTACTCAGTTATCGAAAGACTAAATTTTACCCTTAACCTTTAAAAACTTGCATATGGAATTATAAAGGAGAGAGAAAAGCAAAATCATTAGTAAATAAAAATAAATACATACACATACTAACTAAATGGAAAATATGCCAAGCTACATCCTGAGGGCACCGAGTTACCATATCAATGGACCTAGAATGCAAAGTTGAAGCTGAGTGCTAAAGGACTTTCATCCTGAATCCAGAGAGCATGGCCAACACCCAGAGGCTGGAGAACAGGTCATTGCCTAGATGGTCTCAGAGAACAAAGGATTCTTTTCAAGCCTTAAGAGCTAATGTAAATTGTTCTGCTATGATTTGGGCTTGCTTGGTGCCTGTTATCCCTTCTTTTCTCCATTTTCCTCCCATCTGTAATGAAAATGTCCACCTTGCCCAGTTATACAATTATACTTTGGAAGATAACTTGTATTCTAGACTCATAAATGAAAAGAAATTTTGTGCAGGATAGCATTTGGTCATGGAGTTGATTTAAGGCTTTTGGGATAATATGTGAAAACGTTGTGCATGTGGCAAAGACATTGTGGGGGTAGGTCAAAGTATGAAATGTCATGGGCTGAATTGTGTCCCCCCAAATAAGTGCTAACTTGGTTAGGCCATGATTTTCATTGGTTTAGTGGTTATGTAATGATGTAATTATCTTCCATGATCTGCTCTGATGTGATCATATCATGTGTGAGGGGATTAGGGTGGAATAGCCTTTATCCCAAATAAGGGGAGTTCCTCTGGGATGTGTCAGGAATCACCTTCAATCTTACAAGAGATAAAAGGAGAGAGAAATGAGTAGAAAAGAGGGACCTCAATTCCATTAAGAAAGAAGAGCCAGGACTACAGCCTTGAGACCCAGCATCCCTATGACGTGAACCTCCTAGACCAAGGGAATGATTTATGCCGGAAATTTATGCCATGTAAATTCTAAGAAAGGTCAGGCCTACAGATGTTGAAAGAGAAAAGGACCTTCCTCTAGAGTCTTCCTACAAAGACAGAAGATAATCTTTCCTTAACAGCCAACACTCTGAATTCAGGCTTCTAGCCTCCTAAACTGTGAGAGAATTATTTCTGTTTGTTAAAGCCATCCGTTTGTGGTATTTCTGTTATAACAGCACTAGAGAACTAGATACAGAATTTACTTATTGATGAAAAGCAAAGACTTCAGTGTGAATTACATCTCAAGAGAAAGAAAGCAGAAATCCTTATAATTGGACCAATAAGTAGTAGCATTATGATAAATGGAGAAAATATAAATGGTGTCAAGGATTTCATTTTACCTTCATCTACAATCAATGCCCATGGAAGTAGCAGTATAGAAATCAAATGATGTATTTGAGCAACTCTGCTGCAAGTCTTCTCAAAATTATTAAAAAGTAAAGATGTCACTTCAAGGCCTAAGATACGTCTAATTCAAGCCATGGTATGTTCAATAATGTCATATCCATATTAAAGCTGGACAATAAATAAGGAAGAGTAGAGAAGAATTAAAGCATTTGAATTATGATGAAGGATACTGAATATTCCTTGGACTTCCAGAAGAATGACTAGATCTGTCTTGAAAGAAGTATGGCCAGAATGTTCCTTGGAAACAAGAATGACAAAACTTTGTCTCACATATTTTGGATATTTTATGAGGAGGAACCAGTTCCTGGAGAAGGACAGCATGCTTGGTAAAGTAGAGGGTCAGTGAAAAAGAGGAAGACCTTCAATGAGATGAATTGACATAGTGGCTGCAACAGTGGGCTTAAACATAGCAACGTTTGTGAGAATGGTGTCAGATTGGGTGATGCTTTGTTCTATTGTACAGAGGGTCACTATGTATTGGAACTGACTCAACAATACCTAACAACAACATTACAGCAGCTCTTGTTTCTTCAATTGGCCATGAGGATGTAGTTAATAT